AATTCTGTCATCTCTCACACCCATGTCTTTCCAAATCCAATAGACTTTTGTTCATCTAATGTGAAAGGAGGGACAGAGTTCACTCACCCAAAACTTTGACGCTTTGGAAAGTTCATAAGTCAAACGTGAACGTAATCCAAATGAGTCAAGTGCTTTAATACAAGTCTTCTGAAGAGACACAATCATTTTATATGATAAACAGATTGATTTAGGCGTGAAATGCGAGAACCAATGAGGTTTGTTCTTGCGCATCAAGCAAGTATGGTTAAGCTTCCATATCTATGTATGTGTGTTTTTCAATGTTTATATATGAATAAAATCCTGATTAAATCTGTTCATCAAATGAAGCATTTGTGTTTCTTAATAATACTTATAGTAAATGGCTCTATTCATATAGATCCATGTATTTCCGAAGCGTCTGAATGGACTTTTAATGGAGGGTCAGAAATCTCGCAGGTTTTATTAAAAATATCTTTATTTGTGTTTTGAACACGTTCGAAAGTCTAATGGATGTCAGACAACATGAGGATGAGTGATGATGACCGATTTTTTTTTTTTTTTTTTTTTTTCATTTTTGGGTGAACTATCCCTTCAAAGCAAGGGTGTTATCAAACCATTGCCTGGGTGTAGGCTTCTAAAAACAGTTACATAATAGGTAAACTACTTGGCCAAAGGTATGTAGACGCCTCCTAATTAACGGATTTGGCTATTTCAGATACACCCATTACTTACAGGTGCATACAATCAAGTATACAGCCATGCAATCTCTTTAGACAAACAGTAGAATAGGAAGGTGAAAGGCAAGGCACAAAACAAGACAAATCCTACTTATCACTTAGGCTACACTTGCCAAAGATGCGTTAAACGCAGCATATACTTCATATACTTTTCGTATTCTATATGTGTGCTTCATACAACGTATGGACATAAACAAGATTTAAATTGGATGAGAAAAAGGAAGGCATGTCTGAAATACAAGCGTATCTACTCTGGCAAAACTAGTCCTGTTGGAATAGGACTATAATTTAGTTTTGTTGATTATTTCTCTCTCTCTCCCTGACCCTTACAATGAAACAGGCTGATTTTGCTACTGTACCTTCAGGACAGATGTATCATTGTTGTTTGTTTTTGAGCTTATGGTTTTGGTGTCAAAATAATTTTTATGATCATAATTGAAGTAAATGGTCTCGTTAGACTGGAATGATTTTTGCTTGTAAGAACGTGAAGACATGAAGAAATGATTCCAACTATGTTAAGAATTGTGGTGTGACGTTTTGCTTTGTAGGCTGATATTGACATTTGTAGATTCTGTACCATTTTCCTGTTAGACGGCAATACTATAGTATTAAAGTGGGGTAATAGGCTTTGGTTTCTACATGTAAAGGTCAGATCACATCAGTGTGCTGATCCAAGCAAAGCTTTTGACCCTCAGTGTCAGACAGTAGAAGGAAATGATGAATGGAGACTCAAATGCATCACAGCATTTATTGTTTTAAGAAAATGTTTCAAGATGTCCTCATAGAAAGAGCAGACTTGGATGCTGTGGCTGTTTTTTGTTTTTTATTGGCTGGTCTGCAGATGAAGAGTTCAGTGTAATGCATGCATATATGTAAAGCCATATTATAGATGAGCAAGCTTAGTCCCACAGAAAGTGTTACAGTAAATAAGAGAAGTGAAGTGTCTTTGTTAACTCTTTCTCCTATCCCAATTTAATATTTAGAAACAACTATTCCTAAACTATTTGAAGGTTAATTTCTTTTAACCTTGTGAATTCTGTGGATGTGCCATATAACATTGCTGTGACTGTACCTCACATAATGTCATGAGGTTAGGAGTTAAGCACTAACGTGTGTCCCATGTCAAATGAGGAGGTGCAATACTGAAGGAAAATTTTATTTTTAGGGACGGAATGATGAAAAGAGTTGAACTTATTAATATTCACGGACAACAACATATACAGCATGAGAGCTTTTTCCCTAAACATACAACCCGTGAATATACACACGTCTGTGAACGCACATCATTTGAATTTTATTTTACAATTTGCAATGCTGCCTGGCAACCATAAACAATGAACAGTTACACGTATCAGTGGCACATTACAATGAAAAATCGAATGGTGAACTGTCAGCTTTGATATCAGTGTTTGTCATATATCACAACTCTTCATTGTTTTCAACCACAAAATGTTTACAGATCCGATTATCTGAATTGCGGTGTAAACTAACATGGGGGCGAAATAAAAGCGATACATCTGTCAACGCTATTGGCTCCTGTATGCGTCACCATGGAAAAATCAGGTGATGCGTTCTCAAATAATGGTCCTCTTACACTCACGCTAGGGGGTCAGCTAGAATATTTTACGTGTGAAAGGGTTTGTTCCTTTACTTCCATGTGGCTCAAGTCTCTTTTGGCAATGTGACATAAATACATATGCTGACTGTTGACCATTGCTCCACAGGTCAAACAAACGACCACATGAAAGGATAAATGACAGGGTATACTGGTTGGCAGGATTATTTGTTTCTAAGGAAATGGTATCTGGGTGTGGGATCCTAATGTTCCTTTTGTTTTATAGCCTGTCCTGAACCAAAGGAAATGGATTTATTTGCATAGGTCCATCATAGGCCTAAGCTTGCTGTTGGTGCAGTTATTGCTTGCATGCATGTTGCTATGAAACAACTTTCTCTATATTTTCTTTTATCAATTAAATCCTTAACAAATGACTCGGTAAGAAGAAATTAAATATAATGCCGACATGTGTGTCTGAGTCCTAAATAATCCTTGGACAACTTTTCCACAGTTTAGGAGCCAGGTAGAAAAAGGATTTACCTCCTTTTGTGGATTTTGAAATTCCTATCAACAGACCAGAATTTTGCACCTGTAGTGGCTGTGATGGATTATAACACTAGAAAAGACTGCATACGTATTGCAGAGCTGGGCCGATCAAAGCTCTGTAAGCAATTTGCAAAAGTCTAAAACTGATACAAAACCGCACTGGTAGCCAATGTAGAGATGATAATATTTGGCTGATGTGATCATGTTTCTTGATTCTTCTTGATCCAGCTGGAGCTTATTTATAGAGCCAACAGGACATCCACTCAGAAGCACATTACAATAATCTAGTCTGGAGGTTATTAATGCATTAATTCGTTTTCAGCATCGGAACAGAGACCGTGTGTCATAGTTTAGCATGGTTTTGAGATGAATGAAGGCCTTTCTATAAACATTAGCAATGTGACCATTAAAAGACAGATCAAGCGCAATACCCAGGTTCTTATCTGCAAAGAATGACACAAGGGTACAACCACTGAGCAACATATCATATTCTAGCATCTTTTGTTTAGTGGCATTTAGTCCTATGATTGATTCCACCAATACACTCTGCTAACTTGGAGAATTGAAGAGTCATGACCTCATTGTGTCATGTAGAAATAAAAAGCTGGGTGTTGTTAGAATAGCAATGAAATCTAATTTCATGTATGCTGGTAATGTTCCCCAGGGGAAGAACAGTGGGGAAGAGCATGGGGCCTGATACTGATCCCTGTGGCACTCCATACCTAACTTGTGTTTGATCTTACATCTCCTCATTTACACAAACAAAAATGATTGGTTCTAAACTATGCTAATGCCTGCCCACAAATGCTAACGTGGTTCTCAAGCCTATCCAAGATTGTCTATGGTATCAGTGTAAAGATCTAACAATAGAAGGAATATATAGCTGCGATCAGATGATACGACTAGGTAATTTTTTTGTAACTAACAAGTGTAGTCTCTGTAGTGTGGTGGGGCCTAAATCATGACTGATAATTTCTCTGAAGATATTTTTTTAATATTTATTATATAAATGGCAGATTTGAGATTGGTCTGTAATTAGTTAATTGTAATTTCTTTTTAAGGGGTTTTATTACTTTTTGTGACAGGGAAAGCGAAGAGTTAATAATATTGAGAAGAGGTTTTGATTACAGGAAAAGCCACTTTCAGTAGCTTAGTGGTTAAAGGATCTAACATGCACATTGTTGGCTTTGAGAACTGGCTAAGTCTTGTTATTTCTTCCTGTTACATGACATTGAAAGAATTCAATCGCTAGTAGTGTAGTGAGATGAAGTCGTTTGTGTAGTTTTGTGTAGAGATGTGTAGTTTTCTTTCTTATAGCCTCAATTTTATGATTGAAGAAAATTTTCATAAATTCATAGTGCTATGCCGGGAGGGAATATCAGGATCTGTCATAGCTTCGGTTTTTCCTCCGTCTGGCCCATCTGTAGCTAGAGACACTATTCTTCCAGGCACCCCAAATACCCTCTAAATTTGTACTCCTCTGCCTGCTCTCCATCTTCTCAGCAGCCTTCTTAGGCTCATTGGTGTGGTTGTTATTCAATGGTGTGAGGCTTTTTTCTTCTTCTTTAATTAATGTAATACTGACAGACAAATCCAGTCACGGAATCCCAATCAAAGAGATTAATCTGATGATTGAAATCAGGGCAGTATTTGTCTGACACAAAAATAGTCAGGATCCCACTAAGGGTGACAGCATTAAACAGGATTTCAACAGATCAATTAATACAAAATACCAATCAATGAAACACCATAATTAGAGATGCACCAATCGACTGTCCTTCATCCAGAATTGGCCAGTTTATGCTCCAAACACACAATCGGAAACTGCTTTTTGTTTTATTTTGGTCAAACTGCATTGCAATACTTTTCCAAAAATGTATTTTTTTGTGGAAAATTACCACATCTGTAAATGTTGGAAGAAAAAAAAAACTGAATTGGGGGTTTATATGAATGTATCTGTGGTAGGAACTGACTGTCTTCATAAAAGTTGTGATGACATTTTCTTTTCATTTTACTTCCATATAATGCCTGTTAAAGTAGTGTTTTCAAGCGCAGTTTTTCTTTGTGTAGAGCGGTAACTAGAAACAGAAATACTACACCACCTGCTGTCAGAGAGTGAATTTGGATGAGATGTTCACATCTTATTTTACTCTGATTTACAGGAGTGAGGCCTCAGTGCCATGCCAGAGAAATCCCATAGCACGGCCCATGATGTCCCAATGGGTGAAGGTAAGACACCACCTCTGCTCTGCATAGAAATTGTGGAGTCAAACTTCTCACAGCCAAAGCAAATGTTTAACTCATTACTCAATACAATTCAACTTTGATGTACTTCATTATTATTCCATATTATGGCAGTTTTGTTGGTTAGATGATGTGTTTTGATCATTGTTTCGGTAAATACAAGAATAGTATAAATTCAGTCAAAATAATTTACCATGCTTCTATTTATTAAATTTTTTTTTATTTCTAAACTACACCTGTAGAGGTGCACCAGACGGCTGGTTAGAAAGGTTCAAGTATCCCCTACTGGTGGATGCTGTAACAGCTTTTCTAGCACAGTTATGACTAGAGTCAGCACCTGTACCTCAGACTATAGACTACAAGAGCCGTATCTATTGTTGTGTCTCTTAACAAAAATTGCGAACATTTTACATTTTACAAGTTTATGTGCAAAACTACATATTTTTTTAAATTGACTAGTCTGTTTGTCTAAATGGCTTGTTGGCATTGAGAAAGCCCTGAATAATGACACCACACACTGATCAGACACGTTTCCTGTTCGAAGTTCTCACAAGATGTCATTGTTTATTAAAAACCACTAGACAAAGCACACCAGAATGAAGCAGAACTCAGAGGTCTTGAAATGCGTTGAAATTGGTGTACTAACAAAACCTTCTGCATAAACTTCAAATTGACATTTTTGTCCCAAGTATGCAGATATTTCAGCATCCTCCTGTTGTGGGTCAGGTTTTTCTGGTTTGTCTAGCATTGTTTTTGAAGGCATCTGAGCTATGCTGAGTCTGGTTTCTGTCTCTTTCTCTTGTGTCAAAGTTCATGTCAAAAGGGTTGAAATGTTGGTCCAAAATTTTGGAATCATCACTTTGTCCAGTTTGCTTGGTAAGATAAGAATACAATTTACACAATAGCCACAATAGGTTTAATGAGTGTAAGTTATAATCCGTCAACTGTCCCATAACTCCTTCAGACTAAAATAGCATAGCATTGTGCTGACGGCCACCCACAGACCTTAGCTTTAGTTATTCAATAGGTTTTTCATTTAAACATGTCCTTTGTATGAAGAACATGATCTCTCCAATCAAGTCAGTTTTTCTTTCAATACACATTTTTCTCATAAGCAGCTTTACAGAAATTCATGATTTTAGTGTTTATAATAAATTAGTTATAACTAAGATAACTAAGATATATTATTAATTGTCCACATTTAGCTGTTTAGAGATGGCCGATAATAGTATAGTTTACATTTGGCAAAGATATAAACAATCAAGCACTTGCGATTTGCTATTTATTGTGTTGCTTTATGTGAGTGTGCTGTATGTATGCGCGTACAATTGGATAAACTTGTAATTGGGAGTTATTCATTTGTTATGAGGTTATATGGTTTTGTTCAGTTTAACATCTAACATTTGGTCAAGTCACCTTCATTTATATAGCACTTTTAACAATACAGATTGTTTCAAAGCAGCTTTACAGTGATAATATGAAATTAATGGAATAGAGATTGTTTGGGCTTTACAGCAGATCTAGAAAAAAGTAATTTAAGTAAGTTTTTAATTGATTCATTTCCGTTGTAAAAATCATTAGTTATTAACTTACACAACACCGTTTTCAACTGAAAACAGAAAACTTTTATTGCGTTCTGGAACTTCTGGCTGTTCATTTACACGACAATGTAATGAAAATGAAAGTATTTTTTGATCTTGGATGCATGTAAACCTATTGTAGGAGACATTTAAAACAAAATTAAGAACCTTTAATATAGCGTAATGGGGAACTTCCCATCATCATTTGACATTCTTTCCCTTAAACGTTGAAACTACTGTTTATACAAAAGGCTGTTTGTTTGACTGTACAAAGCACTTGAAAATGTGTGTGTTTTTTTTTTACAGTTAATTCTTAAACAATTTGCTTTATGTAACAACATCTAAATTATCTGGTTTCATGCATGTCAAAAATTTTATTTAATCTGCATATCAACCTGACAAATTTTATAAAAGAAATTAAATAATTAATTTAAAGAAGTAATTTTTGTGGGTTAAATGAAGTAGAAATAGATCTTGTAATTACAAATGCAGGTTATCACTTTTTTCCAGTGTTGTTGTGCCACCCTAGGATTTTTACTGTCCCTCTTTTGGCTGCCAAATTTCCTGTAGGACACACACACACACACACTGCCCAGCCCCAAAAAAGTCACTATTTGGATTTAAATAGGCAAATGCTTAAGAGTCTATGATTGGATCATTATTGCAGTGATTATTATGGTTCTAGCATGTTATATGTTTGGCATCAGCTATTCTAACCCTAATGGAGTGTGTAGCTGTTCCTTTATTAACCAGGTTGACACATTATGGGCATATTCCAGGATGACAATGTCAAGATTCATGAGGCTCAAATTGTGCACCAAAAACTTCTTGATGGAAATAACATTATAACATTTATTTCCCTTTAGAGGTGCATCAATTTTGGGGTCAAGATCTTGTATTGTCAATGCAAGAGTCCAGCACTCTGTAAAGTCTCCTCCAGCACATCCCAAAGACTTTCACTGAGTTTAAGATCTGGACTCAGAAGAGCATCAATTCATGTGTGAAAATGATTCTTCATCTTCATGCTCCTCCCAACCATTCTTTCACATTTTCAGCCTGATGAATCTTGGCATTGTCTTCCTGGAATATGATCATGATGTGTTTCATACATGGTTAATGAAGGAAAAGCTACACACTCCATCAATTTGGATTAGAAGAGCTGTTGCTAAATATATAACATGCTAGAAACATAACAATCACTGCAACAATGATACAATTTCTCTTAGAACTATAAACCACACAGAACTACATTTATGTAAAATACACACATGCATACATACTCATGAGATCATGATGTACTGTACATTTTTTTCAGTCTGCAGCAACATCACTCAAAACTCGGTGTGGAGAGCATTTGAGGGCATACACACAGGACAAGAACATAGGGTTAATTTAAGGTGTATATATATAAATGTATAGTGAGGTGAGCAAACGTGCATGTTTTGAGCCACGAGTAGCTGAGAGTGCACACGTCTTGGGCTGTTTTTAAAACAGGTAAATGGATTAACAGCCTGGATTATCTGGAGGTGAATTGAGAGATCTTACATGCTGTCTCCTCTGGTTAGTGTAAAGCCAAGCTTTCACATGTGAGGGCCAGCGAGTGACATAGTGTAGTGTCCTATAAGTGTCTTATTTTGGATTCATGTTTTTCACTTTATTGGAATCAGCCATTGTTGGATATCTCTGTCTGCCAATTTTGGATTTTTACATACTTTATGGTTCATTTAAAGAGCAGTATCACTTGAAGAAAGCTGTGTACAGGTAACAATTGTTTTGTGTATGTTTTAATAATCTTTTCTTTTTTTTTAAACAAAGCAGTAAAGATAGTCACAAAGTTGAAATAAATGAAGAAACGTTTATGAATTATTTTACTTGTTCCAACAACTTGCATACACAGGATTGTGGGATATCATATGCAGTCAAAGACACGTGCACCCTCCAAAATCAATCATATTATGTTAACGTTGGGATGAAAAGTTGCATCGTAAGTGTTCGTGTTGTAACAATTTTATCAAAGCAATTAGGCACTTGAGCCCTTGTTGTATTGTGATTTATATTGTTGTCATGCTTAATGCCCTTTAGCCATGACTTTAATCAGTAATTCACAATTGTTCCTTATTGATTAAATGTGACACATAAATGATAAACATTTTAAATTATTCCGAGATTTTAAAATGTCCCTACTCCCTAGTCTTTGTTTGTGTGCTCTTCCAAAGCAACTACATGCTTAACTACAGTAGAGGTCTTTGTAACACAAAACACAAAAGCACACAGCATGTGTTGCACAACAGTGCAGTTCATCATCATTAGTGTTAGGTTCTTTACAACACAGTTAAATTGTGTCTTAATGAGTTCTCAGGTGAACTGGAAGTCGTCTCTCAGCGCTGTTGTTATGCACTGCGGTGACTCTGTGAGCGTGTCGTGGGACTCGGGGGGGGTGTGTGTGTGTGTGTGTGTGTGTTGTAGCTGTCGTTTCTGCACAGCTGAGCCTTGAGTGATGTGTTGTCTGTTCTGATAGGGGGTGGGACACCAGTGCTGCCCCTAACTCTCCGAAATTGAATAGATATTTCACTCTACGACTATTCTACATCTGCGGCGTGAAGGAGGCAGTGAACATTGTAAGGTTGATTTACATCTGTCATATGATTTGTCAACTGTATGGCAGAAGATGGTGTTTGTCTGTAGACTCCCTTAAATGCAGTGAGCTGGATTTAACACTCGTCGAGTTGTGTGAACCTGGGTGTCTTGAAAATCATCAATTTGAAAGACAAAAACTCTACATGGAGGTGCGTGAACATTGTTTTTGGTTTATTTTTGTTAGATAAATTAGACTGTTCCCACTGTAACCTCTTAACATTTAAAATTCAAATCTGATGGTATAAAAATACTGTATATCGCTAAAACAAATCTTCAGTTTTGCATGAAATGAGATTAATTAGGGATTAAATATAAATGAAATATAATTAAATTCATTACATTATATGCCAATTATTGAATTTAATTATCTTGAAATGAGTTATCTTTATTCTCAAGTTAATTCTTAGACATTAGGCCTACATTATGATGGAACTATTGCATAGACAGCTTTAGAAGAAGGGTGAATATTATTGGGGATTATTGGGGATGGGTTCCACCCAATTAAGGGAAAAAATGTAGCAAATGGTTGCAAAAAAACCCTGTTATTATCACTTTGTTATTAAACGCCCTTCTAGGGATGAGTGTTGCAAATGAGCCAAAAGTACTATGATAGTTGCATCAGATGGCTAATTTTTTTCAATTTTGTCTATGTATATTTTATCTGTCCCTATTCAAATAAATCATAAATAAATAAATTATAGATTTACACTAAATGAAGATATCACAAAATGTTTTAATGTTTTGTCTTTTAATATGGCTGCATGATTT